TGCAGCCTCAAAGGTGGTGCCTCCTTCAGGCGTCTGAGAGTGGGATGGAGGCTCCTCCAGTTACCAAATTCCAAAGGCTGCTGAGGAAACGCATCTCTCTCTTTTATGGCATTTCCTAGAAGCTTGCAGTAAGTGCTCAGAGCCCCACTGGCTGCAGGGAATGTGAGTTCAAACCCGAGAGACAGGACTGACTGGCCGTGGGTGCCGGTGGCATTCCGCAGCTTTCTCCCCGGCTTTTGGGACTCCTGTCTCCCGATAGCACCGAGAGCGCTCGTCACCTCCCTCTCTCCCCAACCAAAGCGAGACCCCGATTTAACTCAGACCCTGGAAACATCGAAGCCTGCTAGAAAAGCGAGCAGCTGCCCTGGGGACGGGTCAGGGTCTGGGGAATCTCCCCTCTTCCAGGTAGCATCTTGGAGCCCGATAGAGCTGGTCTTGAAGCTTGCCAGCTCCAACCCACGTGGATGAACCCCCTCTTCTAAAGCAGGGCTTTATTTCCCCCCGTTCGTCCTCGCCCCCCATCTCCACCTTGTATTAACTCCGGCTTGGTTCGGCCAATGCGGAATTCTTTCCTTAAAATGCCCAAACCATCTCGGGCCGGAAGATGCCAGATCTGAGGCTGGCTGTGCTCGTTCCCGCTCCAGGCTAGGGTGATAAGAAAAGTAAGGGGGAAAGAAGGAGGGGGGCAGTGGAATGAGGTCAAAGCCTGGTGAAGAGCGGCCCCTTGTGGACAGCAAGGGAAGCTACCCTTAAGCTCCCCCCCCCCCCCCAGCCCTTGAACCCCTCGGCTTCTTTCCTCTGTTTGCCTGCCACCGTTTTATCTTAGGATTTTTCAGACTCCCTCACTCCTCCTCCATCCCCAGGCTCTCCACATTTCCAGCTCTCACTCTGGGCCTGGGGGGGAGCGGATTCCGTGGAGGAAAAGCCACACGCCGAACCTCCTCCCCGGCTGCCCTTGACGGCTGAAGGGCTCCGCGTGCGGACTCCGGGGGCCAGGTGGGGAGGTTGGGGCAATCGGTGCAGGCGCTGTCGCCGCGTCCCCCACCTCGAAGTCCTGGCTCAGTCCAGGGTGGCAGGCCCGCTGGCCTTGGCTTTGCAAGGCTTTCAGTGGGCAGACCGCGGTGTGTTGTGTGTTGGTGCAAGGCGGGAGGGGGAGGAGGGGCGGAGAGGGTGTAGATGGAAGGTGAAAGGTCAGTGCAAGAGGCGAGAGGAATGATCCGAGGTAGTTGGACGCCGAGCCTTGGGCTTAGTGACTTCTAATCCGGGCCCTGTGGTTTTCGAACTGCGTGAATGGGTCAGCCCAGTTGGGAAGCTTTTCTGGGTCTCAGTCTCCTGTCTGTAAAATGGGGATGATGATACCACTTGCTCCACACTCTGTAACCCTGAAGGCTATGGCAACGTGAATGCCTCTGGCAACGTGAGTGCCTCTGGCACCGAGACTGGCCGGACGCCAGCCCCTCTGCTGGCCTGCTGTAGATTGAGGGGGAGGGCCAAGATTTCGGGGAAATCAGCCTCGGAGATCCCGAAGTCCCTCCGGGGTGGGCCATGGTAATTCTGAGTTGAGACGATCGCCAGCCTTCTCGCAAACGTAGGCGGGAGGGCTTTGGCGCAGGTTCGCTCCAGGGCCGCCCGTCGAGGGTCCGGCCGGCTGTGGTTCGCGTTGCCCTTTGCAGTTCTGTTTAGAACCGGAATCACATGGGGGCTCTGGGGCCGCCAGATCCGCCCCTGCTCCCAACTCGCTCCCAGTTCATTCTCCTCCCGTTTTTCCTCCACCTCCACCCCCACACACTCCCAGACAGAAAAGGGGGAAGTCTTGGGTCTGATCCCGGCTCGGGCAAGGAGCAAAACCGTTAGGAAGCTCTTGCATTTCCTTTGGGAAAGAGCGAGCATCCGCTGGCGGCGGGGCCAGCCTCATCCTCCCTGGGGGCCAGCCGGGGCGGGGGGAGAGAGAGAGAGAGAGAGACAGAGAGAGAGAGACAGAGAGAGAAAGAGAGACAGAGACAGAGAGAGACAGAGAGAGAGACAGAGAGAGACAGAGAGACAGAGAGAGAGAGACAGAGAGAGAGAGAGACAGAGAGAGACAGAGACAGAGAGATTGAGATAGAGACAGAAAGACAGACAGGCATACAGAGACACAGACTGGGAGAAAGACAGTCAG